GAAGACTTGAAACACTTACTCATGAAGATCAAAGACTACAGCCTTCAATGTGAATGACACCGCAGCATAAAGAAAACAAAAATCCTCACAACTGGACCAATAAGCAGCATCATGATAAACGGAGAAAAGACTGACATTGTCATCAAGGATTTCATTTTGTTTGGATCCACAATCAATGCCTATGAAAGTACCAGTCAAGAAATCAAAAGATGTATTGCACTGGGCAAATCTGCTGCAAAAAAACCCCTTGAAAATGTTCGAAAGCAAAAATGTCACTTAGAGGACTAAGGTGTGCCTGACCCAAGCCATGGTATTTTCAATCGCCTCATAGGCATGCGAAAGCTGGACAATGAATAAGGAAGACTAAAGAAGAACTGATGCCTTTGAATTACGGGGTTGGCAAAGAATATTGAATATACCATGGACTGCCAGAACAAATAAGTCCTGTCTTGGAAGAAATACAGCCAGAGGGCTCCTTGGAAGTGAGGATGGTGAGGCTTCATCTCACATACTTTAGGCATGTTATCAGAAGGGACCAGTCCCTGGAGAAGGACATCATGGTTAGTAGAGGGTCAGTGAAAAAGAGGAACACCCTTGATGAGGTGGATTGATACAGTGGTTGCAACAGTGTGCTCAAACACAGCAATGATTGTTAGGATGGCACAGGACTGGGCAGTGTTTTGTTCTGTTGTACATAGGGTCGCTGTGAGTTGGAACTGACTCGACAACAACCAACAACAACAGTAACAGCATTCTCATGGTCAACTTTGGCTCCCACTGCTGAACTCTTGATCTCGCTCATGTTTCACCTCTTGCAGCTGCTTTCTTCTCTGTGTTCTACGCTGAGCTCCCTTCCTCGACTTCCCCATAAACAATGCAGACAGCACAATGGGGCAGGTTGTTACACTGCCAAAATGCCAACAACTAAATATTATAAATTTGATACCTATGGTTTTTAAGGAGCCCTGGTGGCACAGTGGTGAAGAGCTCAGCTGCTAACCAAAAGGTTGGCAGTTTGAGTCCACCAGCTGCTCCTTGGAAACCTACTGGGCAGTTCTACTCTGTCCTAAAGGGTTGGGATGAGTGGAATCGACTCGACGGCAATGGGTTTGATTTTTTGGTTTTACGGTCTTTCAAGTTCTTGGCCAATATGCCACCAGGTACTTTTTCTATCATTCTCCACAGGAAACAGATCTATATGACATGGCCTCATCTCTAAAACTATGCTTCCTTGTCTCTCTTCCTGGTCGTCTTCCTCCCACATTTCTGTTCATTTCTTCATGCAGACTATTTAGCTCTCTCTTCAGACTGTAGTCTCCTTCTAGGTCAGCCCCTCAAGTACTCACCTTCTAAATGCACAAGTCATCAGGGCATTTTTCTAATGGAAACAGCTCAATAAGTGGAACTCTAGTTAATATCATTAATAGTGTGACGAACAGATATATGCACACCCATGTTCACTGCAGCACTGTTCACGATAGCAAAAAGATGGAAAATACCTAGGTGCCCATCAACAGATGAATGGATAAACAAATTATGGTATATTCACACAATGGAATACTATGTAATGATAAAGAACAATGATGAATCCGTGGAACACCTTATAACATGGAGGAATCTGGCAAGTATTACTCTGAGTGAATTTGGTCAGTCGTGAAAGGACAAATATTGTGTAAAACCACTATTACAAGAACTCAAGAAAAGGTTTAAACACAGAAGAAAATATTCTTTGATGTTTATGAGGGTGGGGAGGAAGGGAGAGGGGTATTCACTAACTAGATAGTAGACAAGTATTATCCTAGGTGAACGGAAGGACAGCACACACTACAGGGGAAGTCAGCACCAGCGGACTAAACCAAAGCTAAGATGTTTCCTGAATACAATCAAATACTTCGAGCAACAGAGTAGCAGTGGCGGGGGTCTGGGGACCATGGTTTCAGGGGACATCTAGGTCAATTGGCATAACAAAGCTTATTAAGAAAATGTTCTGCATGGCATCTGGGCTCTTAAAAGCTAGCAAGCGGCCATCTAAGATGCATCAATTGGTCCCAACCCACCTGGAGTAAAGGAGAATGAAGAACACCATGGACACAAGGAAAGTATTAGCCCAAGAGACAGAAAGGGCCACATAAACCAGAGACTTCATCAGCCTGAGACCAGAAGAACCAGATGGTGCCTGGCTACCACCAATAATCGCCCCAACAGGGAACACAACAGAAAGTCCCTGACGGAGCAGAAGAAACTGGGGTGAGGAAACCAAATTCTAGTAAAAAGGCCAGACCTATTGGTTTGATTGAGACTGGAGGGACCCCAGAAGACATAGCCCCCAGACTCTCTGTTAGCCCAAAGCTAAAATCATTCCCGAGGCCAACTCTTCAGACAAAGATTAGACTGGATTATGGGACATAAAACGATATTTGTGAAGAGTGTGCTTCCTAGCTCAAGTAGATACATGAGACTAAATGGGCAGCTCCTGTCCAGAGGCAAGATGAGAAGGCAGAGAGGGTCAGGAGCTGGATGAATGGACACAGGAAATCCAGGGAGGAAACAAGGAGTCTGCTGTCACAGTATAGGGAGAGCAACTAGGGTCACATAACAATGTGTGTATAAATTTTTGTATGAGACTAACTTGAATTGTAAACTTTCACTTAAAGCACAACAATTAAAAACTATATATATCATTAACAGTGTGAGAGACAAAAAGTTCCTGGGTGGTGCAAATGGTTAACGCACTCAATTGCTAACCAAAAGCCTGGAGGTTTGAGTCTACCCAAAGGCACCTCAGAAAAAGGCCTGGCAATCTACTTGTGAAAAATCAGCTATTGGAAACTCTATAAAACACAATTCTACTCCAATAAACAGAGTTGGAATTGACTTGATGGCAACTGGTTGTATATATGTACATACATATGTATATACATACACGTATATATACAGTAAAACCTGTAAGAGCCAGAACTTGAGGGGACTGCCTTGTTTTTCGGGGTCTCACAAGTTTTCCGCCTTTGACAGGGTATAGTCACTACTTTTCTATCGCTCTCTATTTAGTGGAAAATATTTGAGTTTTCCTTCTCTGACAGGTTTCTGCCTTAGGCAGGCTCCGGCTTTGACAAGCATTACTGTGTATGTGTGTACGTATACGTATATACACATATATACAGCCATGCGTCACTTAACGTGCATGACACATTCTGTGAAATAGGACATTACGTGATTTGGATGTTGTATGAACACTATATTAGGTACAGGCAATCCCCAATTATGTGTTCAGCCCCACCCATTGTTCTGCCTGCCTGATGAGTAGGAGCGGCCCAACCCGCAGCCCCACTCCCGCCTTGCCTACCCACAAAGCCTGAGAGCTGTATCCGCTGGATACAGGAGGCCGGCCTTGCCCGGTGTGAGGCTGCGGGCCAGGAGGGGGCGGCGCCGGCAGCTGGACTGGGATTTTGTGCGTGTCTGGGCGCAAGGTAGGAACCATACAGGGGCACGGAAAGGTGGCCGAGGGATGGGTTGGGAGCGGGTGTGCAGGTGCTGGGAGGGTGGCTGGCGGTGGCGGCCCTGGCAGCCCCCGCCTATTCTTGGGGGCACTTCCTGACCATGTGCAGCCTCCACTGCCTGGAACCAGAGGCCAGTGAGCATCCCAGGCCTGGCCGGTGCTCCTGCCAACTCCAGCGCCAGCAGTGGAGGAGCTGCGCAGACTTTCCTATGCCGGCAGTGAACTGCTGTATGGCTGCTGGGCGAGTGGTTGAAGCCAGGAGAAGGAGAAGAAGGAGGAGGTGGCAGAGGAGGCTGCCCTGCTGAGACTGGGCTGCCTGGCTGAGACTGGGATGCATCCTGGAGCCCCGCTGGTTGTTCACTCTGGGGGTTTGGGGTCTTTAAAACCATTAGGAGGAGACAGTAAAAGGAGAGCTGCTTTCCCTTGAAAACAAAAAAAGCCTTATGGGACCACAAACATATATGCAGCCGGATATTGCCTAATAGACATTATGCAGTGCATGACTGCACATATACCCTCTGTTTTTAAAATGATGCAACTGAGCCTTAGCGAAGGTAAATTCCACAGTTCATATATTTTGAATACACAGGTCATTTTACTCTAAATTCCTTTGTCTTTTTACAACATAATACTAGATGTTTTAAAATAAGATTTGTGTAACATCCATCATTTTGTATTGTTTGACTCAGCCTTTAGAATTTAAAAGAAGCTATTATAATCATCTTACTTTACAAATAAGAAAATTGAGTCAGTGTAGGTAAAAACTGAATCCATCAAACTAGCTATAAATATAGGGGGAAAACTAGGCTGAGGACTGAGTCAGACAGCGTAAAGGAGAAAAAGAAGTCAGTGAAACGTACAGTAGGGGGTCTTAAAAGCTTGCAAGCAGCCATCCGAGGCACAGTAATTGGTCTCTATTCGCCTGGAACGGAGGAAGGAGGGTAAGGAATAGGTGAAGGAAATGGAATGTGTGTTTAATTGCCTCCATGAAAAGCTGCCTCCTTTGCTATGAGACCAGAAGAAATGGATGGTGTCCGGCTACCATTACTTAACATTTTGATCAAAGATGCTATAGAAAAATCCTGATCAAAACGGGGAAAATGCAGAACAGAACTTCAAATTCTCATGGACTCCAGACTTTATGGAACCAAGGAGGCTGAGTGAACCCCTGAAACTATTGCCCTTAGTTAATATTTAAACCTCAAACCAAAAATATCCTCTGAAGTCTTCTTAAAACCAAACACAGTTTAGCTTAACTAGTAAAAACTGTCTGCTTTGAGCACTGTGCTCTTTTAAGAACTACCTATATGGGATCAAAGTGACAACAGCAACTCAAAGGATTAGATAGGAACCTTAGGGGGCAGTGAGTTTATGTTAATGGGGGAGGAACAACTCAAAAGGAGGGTGAGAATGGTTGCAGAATTCAAAGAATGTAAGCAACATCACTGAATTATGTATGTAGAAACTGCTGAATTGGTGCTTTTGTTGTGTATATTCTCAACAATAACAACAAAATCAATAAAATTTAAAAAAACAAGAGGAGCAAGAAGGAAGAACAAAAATGAGTGCTATAGGAATTAAGGGAGGCTAGAGGTGAAGCAGATTTTATGTTTGTTCATTTGTTTTGGAAAGGGCTTTGCCAGGCTCTGTATGTCATACAAATAATTACTGGTCACTGGGAGGCAGTATGGCACAGAGGAAGGAGCATTTGACTGCCTCAGTCTGTAATCCGTGCACATGACTTAAAAAACTTTTGGGTTCTAGGTTGTTTGGCTGTAACACTGCTTCTTCTAGCTTTGAAATTCTGTGTTTTCTTACAGTATTTTATCAATTTTTTTGTGTATCATTCTTTTTTCTCTCACAATTTGCTCAGCATCTACTTTGCTTGCCCTGTTAGATATCTAATGATTGACCATTTAGCCAGAATTTCATTTCTTCCTACATGCTTAGAGAATTATATTTACAATAACTCTTTTAAAATGTCTAGTATACCCTGGTGGCATAGTGGTTAAGAGTTACGGCTGCTAACCAAAAGGTCAGCAGTTCGAATCCAACAGGCGCTCCTTGGAAACCCTATGGGGCAGTTCTACTCTGTCCTATAGGGTTGCTATGAGTCGGAATCGACTCGACGGCAAAGGGTTTAGTATATTTGTGAGCGAAGAAACAATTTATGTAACCAGCTCTCTCTTACTTGTTAAAATTTCACCAAGATGTTACAGTACAAACTTGACCATGTTTGCTATATAAACTTAAGAAATTAAATAAGATCTCCTTGCCAAATCATTTATGTACCTTCAATATACTACTAGCTTGGGCCAACGAGGATTTGGAATTAAATAATTTGGAGGTTAAAATATCTCTGGGAAAAGCTACCTCTAATCCACTGCTTTCAAACAGGGTTAATATCAAGAAGAAGCCGTCTTTACTCAACTGACAGTTTCCCAGCTTAAATTCACAAACAAGCTGTCACACATTTCCTATTCTCTTGGATATAAACAGTGCAATCAGTTAAGGTATAATTACAATTAATAATTGCTACTATTACTATAGTAGCTTCATTTATAAAATATTACTTCTAATTAAATGAGGCATTCAGAGCTTTGCGTAAGTAATTAAAATGTTAAGTAGTTTCATTATGCAGCTAAACACTTGAAAATCAAGAATAATAAGCCAGATACTATAAAAGAAAAACAGTGATGTAAAATGGATTAGGGGAAAAATGAGTAAAGTGAGAAAAGATTTAAACAAAAATCTTACCTGAAATATTGAAGTGTTCAAAAGGTCAGTTAAGCATGAACATAGAGTCAGGTGGTATCAAATCCAGCAGCAAAATATAGGACAGCCCAGCCTAGCAGCAAGATGATATAACGGGTAGGCAGACACATTTATTTTTCCTCAGGGAGCAGAGATATACTTGAGAGTACTTTCTCTGGAGGTGAAGATATAATCATTAGACTCTGAAACTCTGTGTAAAGTGGACGGGGGAGACAAGTAAATAAACGTGACTAGGAGAAGTCCCCATGGTCCACACAGCATGCTTTATACTCACTTCCTGTTCTGCCTGTATCATTGAAGGTACCAGAAGATAAACATCTGGCAGCCTGTAAGACAGCAAAAAACAAGCCTGGAAATAATGAGAAAAAACAACAAAAGAGAGCTATTTCCAGTGTCTGAGGTGTTTGTAAGATAAGGTAGGATATTATCTCATTTCCTTTCTGAAAGGCCTGAATCCAATTACTTTTTCTTTAAAAACAAAAAACAAAAAAACCCCTAACTTTAGACATTATTAACAAATGCTTATCTTTCTCCTCCTTCCAGTCACTCACTCATACCTTAACCCTACATCATCCAGTGCCCAGTGAAGCAATTCTTTCAAAAGTCACTAATAATCTTCTAAATGCCATATTCAATAGGCATATCTCCATCTTCAAATTTCTTGACCTGTCTATATCACATGACATTATGGTTCACCCTTCCCCTTTTGAAAATTTCATATCTTTTGGTTCCACAACATTGTGCTATCTTAATCTACCTTCTGCCTCTTTGACCTGTCTTTTTTCACCTCCTTTGATTTTTTTATTCACTATTATGTTTACCACAAGTAATTAACTATAAAGTATCATAACAAAGTCCGAAGTAATTTAGTATCTTTAGCCTCTTTTAGAACAAGTCAAAGACCTTAACAGAACTGAATGCAATGAATGGATGTCTGCCCTCCCCTTTTGTTATAATTGTCTAGATTTTTTTAGTTTCATTTAAAAAAAAAACACACACACACACACAAACAAGAAATCACTTTTCAATAAGGAATTAAATCAAATTTCTGGACATATTTTATCAATTTCTGTGATTAATACTGTTTCTTCTATGCCATGCTTTCCTTTGGGGTTTACTAATATTACAGAGTTATATCCTACGATAATATTTTAGTGAGGGTCTATAGGCAGTAAACTCCATTACATCTTTGTATTTCTAAAAATATCTCTATATTGCACTCATTCTTGAGGGAGAGTTTAACTGAATATACACTTCTTGATTGATTTATTTTTCCTTCTGCATTTGGAATACAGTATTCCATTCTCTTCTGGTACCTTTTATGTTTCTTTGTTAAGTTCAGAAATGCACGTCATAAACTGGGTTCTCTCAGACACTCCAAAACATAGAGTCAGGCAGCCCAGCAGAAATCCACCAAAAGATGGAAATGGTATATTCAAAAAACCAAGCACGATCAGGATCTGCAAGGATGGCGAAATTTTGGACGTGTTGTCAGGAGGGACCAGCCCCTGGAAAAGGACATCAACTACTAGAGGGTCAACTAAAAAGAGGAAGACGTTCAAGGAGCTCAAACATCACAACAATTGTTGAGGATGACGCAGACCAGGCAGTGTTTCATTCTGTTGTACATGGTGTTGCTATGAGTTGGAACTAACTCAACGGCACCTAACAACAGCATTTATATGAAATATTCAGAATAGGCAAATCCATAAAGATAGAAAGTAGATTAGTGGTTGACAGGGTCTGGAAATAGGGAGAAATGGGGAGCGACTGTTAATGGGTATGGAGTCTTTTTGAGATGATGGAAATGTTCTGTAACCACATATTGGTGATGGTTGCACAGCTTTGTTAATATACTAAAAACTACTAAATTGTACACTTTAAAATGAGGAATTTTATGGTACGTGAATTGTATCTCAATAAAGAACAATTTAAAAAAAAAACTTACAGAGCACCATCCTACTCTGACATACATGGGGTTGCCATGAGTCAGAATCAACTCGACAGCAATTGCTATGGTATAGAATGATAAGGATACAGGAATGTTTTATAGAATCCCAGGGCAGGAATGAAACCAGGCCTAAGGGAAGTTCTAGAAACAGAATGGAAAGGCATCTGGACACTTTCTTCATCTCATCTCTGTTCCTGAGTACATGGTTTCATATCTCTCACTGTCTCGCTCTTGCTGTCTCTGCCTCATTCTCTTTTTTTTTTCTAAGCACTGATTTTTTTGCTTCTCTAGTAGAAATGGTATGTGGAAAACAGCTAATCTATAGCTCGCAAGGAAATATATACAGTGAAACCTTGACAGTGGGTCAGAAAAGTGGGTCTTTGTGAGCTGAACACATACATGTACTCTATCATCCTCATTCATCCTTCCCAGTTATTCAGGCTAAAAAACTTCCTAAGTCAGATATGGCTTATCCTGCTCTTTATTACATAATTATGTCTTTCAAAATTACTCTTGGCTATTTCTTCTCCATTTCCACTGCCTTTATCATGTACCAAATTTATAGTTAAAAATGGGATAATTCACTATTTTAAATTTGAATTTCTTTAACCATTATTGAGAATAAACTTTTGTTTATGTCTAATAGACCACTAGTATCTCTGCTTCACTGGTCTACCTGCTTGTGTTCAGTATTCATTTATCTTTTCAGATGTTTGTTTTCATACGGTAAACCAAAAAACCAAACCTGTTACTATTAAGTTGATTCCGACTCATAGTGACCATATAGGACAGAGTAGAACTGCACCATAGGTTTCCAAGGAGTGGCTTGTGGATTCAAACTGCCAACCTTCTGGTTAGCAGCCAAGCTGTTAACCACACTGTGTCACCAGGGCTCCTTTCTTATGGTAAGAGATCTCTAAATTTATGGTTGTTAGCCTTTTATATTTAATATGCTGTTGTTGGTTGCAGTTGAGTTGAGTCCAACCTATGGCAACCCCATGTGTGTAGAACAGAAGTGCACCATAGGAGTTTCAAGGCTGTGACCTTTCAGAAGCAGATCACCAGGCCTTACTTCCGAGGTGCCTCTGGGTGGACATGAATGGCCAATCTTTCGGTTAGTAGCCGAGAGCTTAACCATTTGTGCCACCATACATAATATACGACACAGGTATTTTCTCCAGTTTATTTGCTTTCCAACTTTTTTTTTCAGTTTTGTTTTACACACTGAAAATTCTTCATGTAGTCAATTTTTTCAGATCTTTCCTTATAGTTGTGGCATTGGAAATTATGCCTAGAAAGGCCTTATCATCCCCAGAATGACATTTATATTCACCTATATTTTCTTCCAGTTCTTTCCCCGCCCCTCCTTGGTCCTATCTGAAACTTATTTCCAGTGTATGATGTAAGCTACAGATCAGTTCTTTTCCAGATAGTTAACCAATTATTTCTGTACCATTTATTCAATCACTTTTCCACTGATTTGAAATCTTTTATCATATTGTAAATACTTATATGCACTTAAAATTCCAGTTGCATTTTACCTCAAATGAATTCAGTCATTCATATATTATTCCACATTTGTCATTCAGAAAAAACAATTTTCCATCAAGTTTGAGAAACACTCTTTTGGGTGTCTTCTTGACTTATAGAAATTATGGGGAAAAGTTTTTAATGTTAGTTTTTAAATAGTATAATATAAATGTTTTTAGCTAATAACAATTAATTACTTTAACCCAGCTATGAGGGAAATGAGGAGCCCTGGTGGCACAGTGGTTAACAGCTTGGCTGCAAACCAAAAGGTCGGCAGTTCAAATCCACCAGCTGCTCCTTGGAAACCCTATGGGGCAGTTTTACTCTGTCATATAGGGTCACTATGAGTCAGAATCATCTCAACGGCAACAGAGTATGAGCCAAATGAAGGGGTGGGGGACACCTTCTGATTTAATTCAATTATCTTACTAATCAAAAAGAAATCAATAAAGAAGAAATTATTTCAGGATTGCCAGGCTTCTTTCCAAGAGAGTAGTTCTTATCCTTTTTTTTTTTTTTTTAAATTTGTGTCTTAGTTATCTAGTGCTGCTATAGCAAAAATACCACAAGTGGGTGGCTTTAACAAACAGAAGTTGATTTTCTCACTGTTTAGGAGGCTAGAAGTCTGAATTCAGAGCACTGGCTCTAGGGGAAGGCTTTCTATCTCTGTTGACTCTGGGGGAAGGTCCTTGTCTCTTTTCAGCTTCTGTTTCTTGGTTCCTTAGAGATCTCATGTGGTGTGGCACCTACCATTTCTGCTTGCTTGTTTACTTGCTTGCTCAATCTGCTCTTTTTATATCTCAAAATAGATTTAAGACATACTCTACCCTAATATTGCCTCATTAATATAACAAAGAAAACCCACTCCCAAAGGGGATTATAACCACAGATACACCAAAAATCCATTTGCCTTAGAGTTGATTCCAACTTATATCGACCCTATAGGACAGAGCAGAACTGCCCCCATAGGGCTTCCAAGGAGCGGCTTGTGGATTCGAACTGCAACCTTTTGGTTAGCAGCCTGAGCTCTTAAACCACTGTACCACCAGGGCTCCAAACACAGGTATAGGGATTAGGATTTGCAAGACATATTTTTGGAGGACACAATTCAATTCATTATCTAAAAATTCTCACTTTTTTGCTCAATTCTTTTGATAAAATTCTGGTTATAATGGGAGATGGGACAGGAGAGCTATTTATACAACAATCACTACTTTGTGTTAGGGAGAAAACCCACCTAATTTGGGGAGGAGAGGTAAAAGAGGGGAACTTGAGGTTTGTATCACGGAGGTTCTCTCAAAAAAAGAGTATAGGAAAGATGTAAGTTGCACAGGTTCAGCAATGTCCATGTTGAATGTGCTTTGACACCATTTGAGTTTGTCCTGTCTAAATTCAAGGCCTGGACCATTCCCGGGGATTTCAGAGAAAACTGAAAATCATGCCAGAGTTTTAGCTATTATTTCTAATAATTTTTTTATTATTTTCTACTGTAGCCTCCGTATGCCAAGCACAGTACATACAAGGGGCACCTTACAAACATGTAGCAAATGTGAAAGTTATTATCAACTTTGCTTTCTAGAAGAAGAAACAGATTCAGGGCAATCATGAACTGCCCAAGACCAAAGTGGCAAAAAGTAGCTCATTACAACAGAACCCTCTTGCGAAACATAAAGTGTAGTTTAACTAAATCATTGGCGCTATGGGGCCTCAAAAAGCAATTTGGTCTCAGTCCCTGCACAATCCCCCAGGCGGGACTAGTAAAGTCTGAGAAGACAAACCCAGACCAAAACCGCTGCTCTCCTGTGGATTCCAACTCATAGCGACGCCATTTCCGCACCCCACCCCCACAAAAAAAAAAAAAAACACGTTGCCTTGGAGTAGATTCAGACTCATAGCGACCCTATAAGGACAGAGTAGAACTGCCCCCACAGCGTTTCCAAGGAGCAGCTGGTGGATTCGAACTGCCGACCTTTCGGTTAGCAGCCAAGGTCTTAACCACTGCACGACCAAGGCCCCCTAGCGACCCTACAGTACAGAGTAAAACTGCCTCACAAGGTTTCTAAGCCTATAAATCTTTTCAGAAGCCAACGGCCACATCTTTCTCCCATCCAGCATCTGGTAGGTTCGAACCGCCGAGCTTTGGGTTAGCAGCCCAGCTCTTTAACCACTGAGCGTTTTAACCACTGCGCCACCAGGGCTCCTTCAGAGAAGACAAGCCTGGGAGTTAACTGCAGACCTGAGTGAAAGAAATATAAAAGCAATCCTACCGCGACCCTATCCCACCTCGCCTCCTCGAACTTTTCAGGAGGCGTGTGCTTGTAAGGGCAGATCTCTCCAAGAGGGAGACTGCGGAGACAGCCCACTTAGATTTTTGAGGGCCGTGAGATAAACACATTAAAAACTATAAGGACGCCCTCAGCCGACACCTAGTACAGGAGATGCAGCAAAAACGCGTCATACACATACCTGAGCCTGGCAGAAGCTCCCGAGCCTGAAAGCCCATCCCGGCATCCTTAGGGCCAGGCCTAATTGGCCCCCTCGGCCGCCGTCGGCCTTGGGTTGCTATGGAAACTCAGCTACTTTCGTTATGTCCCTGCAACAAGCCCCTTCGTCGCGGGTGTTCGTGGAACTGGTTCCCTGGGCTGACCGGGGCCAGGAGAACAGCTTGGTCTCAGGCAGAGAGACGCTGCCTGGCATCCGCCGTCCCCTTTCCTCAGCACAGTCCCAAACTACGACCCGCGAGGTGCACGTAAGCGGCACCGCGGAGGTGTCTGCGGACCCTGACCGGGCGCAGGTAGCTGTACGGGTGAGCAGCACCAAGGCGGCAGCGGCCGAGGCCAAGAAGAGCGTTTATCGCCGACTGGACTACATCACTCAGAGCCTCCAGCAGCAGGGCCTACAGGTAAGAGCGTCGCCAGGAGGGGGCTACGAACTGGACCGCACAAAGGATGGGGCCAAGGGTAGTCCCGACGGGCCTCTGGATCTGTGGTGGGGTTTAGGTGGTCTTTAGCGTCGGGGACGCCTTACAGTATCGTTATTTCAGAGCGCCATAATCTGGTTGAGTGAAGCTTTGACCCATCCTTCTCCTAGATAAGAGAAATTATTGGCCGCAGTGACCTTGTGAAATAAAAGAATGCAAATTGGTTACGTTTTTATTTGGAGATATTTTCTGCAAGTAGTTTTGTTTTTAACCATGAAATGTTAAACTTGAAACGTTAGATGTAAATGCTTGCCCTGGTAACGTACTAAACACTAAGCGTTTTTTGTTTTTATTCTGCATCGGGAATTGGAAAGTGAAGAGGAAGGTCGGCCATGTAAAGCTTTGCCTCCCATGGTTGGTTCTTCAGTGGTTTTTTTTTGTTGCTGGTTGTTTGTTTGTTTTGTTTTGCAGAGTTCACGTACGTGGGGAAAAATAGCATCCGGTTTAGTTTTATAAAGATTTCAAAAAAAATTCTCCAGCTTTTTTAGTTTTAACCGTGTGTGTTTGTGTGTGTGTGTGTGCGCGCCAAGATGCCACGTATATGAAGTACCTCTGCTAGCTTACCAGGAATGTCCATTAGACAAGTCACTAAATAAATCTTAAGACTTCAACTAAGGAAAGAAGAAAAAAAAAAATGAACTAACCTTATTTAATCCACGCAAAGCCCTGTTAGGCAGGTTTTAATATCCCCATTTTCCAGACTTAAAGAAGTAATGGTCTGAGCTCCTGGATTCCTGAGAGCAAAATCTAGGTTGCTTGCTACTATGTTAGTCTCCAGATAATTACAGTGAAAGAAAATTAGAAACTACAGAGATCAGGTATCTTAATTTCCTCATTTTACAGAGTAGGACCCTATGGGCCGAAGTTTGTGATTTAACCAGGGTATCAGTGAGTTCATAAAAGTGCAGATATTCTTGCTTGTGGTCTATTGCTAGAAATGCCACACCCAAAATAAGCAAATTTTTATTTTAAAAAGCAAGTATATTTGTACTGCATTTACAAACGTAAGTCATTAAAAAATCATTTTGGAAAGGATTTTTCTAAATGATTTCACAATTTAGAAGAATGCAAGTGTTAATTGTAAATGATTTGAATAAAATAGTGTTTCATTCTGTTGTGTATAGGGTCACTATGAGTGGGAACCTACTCGATGGCACTTGACAAGTATAATGTGTAGCAAAATATTTCCTTAAAAAACTGCTGCCTCTGTTTCAGTCCTATTTGAGTGGTATAACTAGTTCTTAAATTATTTACAGAAAATGTATACTGAGCTCACATGGCTCTAATTTCAGATATGTAAAGCAAAATGAATTACTAATTCCAGCCTTTTGTAATTACAACCAAACTCAGTATTCAAGGCAGGACATAGGAAAGGCAGTAATGTCTCAGTTATGTCTGCTAATGGAGGACAGCAGTCATGTAGATAATTTGTTCAGTAGATGATGCAAGATAGTACCTTTTGGGATAAATTATAATGGGTTTCCACAAAGTCCTTATTGTCTTCTTCGGAATCTTGGGTTAGGTTTATTCCATCATGCCCCTTTCTTGAAGGCTTCTCAAAGCCTTTGGGTTAAAGTCCAAACTCTTCTGGTTAATAAATGGAGGATAACTCTCCATCCTCAATTCCTCATTTCCTGTTGTCATCTCTGTCTCATCTTATTTTTTTCCTTTAAGAACCAGTCCAGGCTCGCCTCCTTGAGAGTACTTTCCTACCATAACATAACTCCATACCGGTACTCAGCTCTCTAACTTCAATAATACTTATTACCCTGTATTATAATGATTGATTTACTTGTCTCTCCTCAATATTCTGAATCTGTCCAGAGCAGAGATTTGTCTTTTGTTTGCATTCATGAGTAATGCTTCATACACTTCTTATTGTATACTCAGAAAATGGTTCTTGAATGAATACGAGGGAAAAAATGAAGAACTAAATGAACTATTAGTTCAGCTCTATCATAGATCTTATGGTTTTATGAGCTTGTGTGAGCCTATAACCATTATTCTTAACCCTGTTTTCATGGAAAAAAATGTTTCAAAGTTCTAAGCAATATTTCTCTAAGACTCAGTTTCACTCACTCAACTAGCAAATGTTTATTAATCATTTCCTATCACATCACTGTTTATTTTTAAATAGCACTCAACATATCTAATTGTTTTGTTTTGTGATTTGTGCGCCCCCCTATTAGACTGTAAGCTACAATATTTGCCTGTTCATCATTGTAATTTTTTTCCTCTGATAAATGTGTAATGGATACAACAGACATGTTGCTAGGCACCAGAAATGAGTCAAACTTAGACACTGCACTAAAAGAGTCTCATGATAGGAACTAATATATATAGTGCGTGCCGTGATGGAAGTAATACACACACACACACACACACACACACACACACACATATATATATACACAAAACAATGGAGTAGTAAAGGAAATGATTTTTCATTTTACTTGAGAAATTCCAGAAAGATTCATAAGGGAAATGACACGTGTCAAATCTTAAACAGTGGCTGAAAGGGAAATGTTCCAGTTCCACACTGAAATGCAGCACGCATGTGTGTTCAGGGAACTACAAGCGGTTGAGAATTGTGAGGACACAGGAATACCTTGGGAAAATGGAGGGAAACCAAGAGATAACACTAGAGAAGGAAGTCGGACAGAACATGGGGAAGGGCCTTGTGTGCTATACTGAGGAGTTTATACACTATTGATGATAAAAACTGCTTACTATTGGTAAGCCTTTGACAAATGTTACCTCATTTAATACTCATTCCTACCATGTGAGATAGAAACTTTAATTGCCATTTGATAGATGAGAATTTTCAGGACAAGAGTGATTATTGGCAGATAGTTTTACCCATGGTTACACAGCTAGGAAGTGGCAGAGTTTTAGACTCCAATCAAGATCTTTGACCTCAAAGCCCACGCTCTTAACAACTAACAGCAGTGTGTTGCTCCTTTATTTTCTTGCAGTGGGTGATTGCGATTTTAGGTGGAGGGATGTTGCAGATACTATTGATGTTGTTAGGTGCCATTGAGTCAGTTCCAACTCATAGCAACCCTGTGTACAGCAGAACAAAACACTGCCTGATCCTGTGCCATTCTCACAACTGTTGCTGTGTTTGAGCCCATTGTTGCAGCCACTGTGTCAATCCATCTTGTTGAGGGTCTTCCTCTTTTTCGTTGACCCTCTACTTTACCAAGAATGATGTCCTTCTCTAGGAACTGCTCCCTCCTGATAACATGTCTGAAGTAATATGAGATGAGTCTTACCATCCTTGCTTCAAAGGAGCCCTCTGGCTGTATTCTCCCAAGACAGATTTGTTCGTTCTTCTGGCAGTCTATGGTATATTCAGTATTCTTTGCCAATGCTATAATTCAGAGGTATCAATTCTTCTTCGATCTTCCTTATTCATTGTCAAGCTTTCGCATGTGTAGGAGGCGATTGAAAATATCATGCCTTGGGTCAGGTGCACCTTAGTCCTCAAAGTGACATCTTTGCTTTTTAACACTTCAAAGAGGTCTTTTGCAGCAGATTTGCCCAATGCAATATGCTTCCTAGGACGTTGATTTTGGATCCAAGTAAAATGAAGTCCTTGACAACATCAGTCTTTTCTCCATTTATCATGATACTGCTTATTGGTCCAGTTGTGAGAATTTTTGTTTTCTTTATGTTGAGGTGTAATCCATACTGAAGACTGTAATCTTTGACCTTCATCAGTAAGTGCTTCAAGTCCTCTTCACTTTTAGCAAGCAAGGTTGTGTCATCTGCATATTATAGATTGTTAATGGGTCTTCCACCAATCTTGATGCCACATTCTTCTTCATACAGTCCAGCTTCTCAGATTATTTGCTCAGCATACAGATTGAATAAGCATGGTGAAAGGATACAACCCTGATGCACACATTTCATGATTTTAAACCAGGCAGTATTCCCTTGCTCCGATCAAACGACTGCCTGTTGGTCTGTGTACAGGTTCCTCATGAGCACAATTAAATGTTCTGGAATTCATATTCTTTACAGTGTTATCCATAATTTGTTATGATCCACACAGTCGAATGCCTTTGCATTATCAATAAAACACAGGTAAACATCTTCCTAGTATTCTCTGCTTTCAGCCAAGATCATCTGACATCAGCAATAATATCCCTCTTTCCACATCCTCTTCTGAATCCAGCTTGAATATCTGGCAATTCCCTGTCAGTGTGCTCCTGCAACTGCTTTTGAATGATCTTCAGCAAAATTTTCCTTGCGTATGATATTGTTCGATAATTTCCACATTCTGTTGGATCATCTTTCTTTGGAATGGGCACAAATACAGATCTCTTTCAGTTGATTGGCCAGGTGGCTGTCTTCCAAATTTCTTAACATAGGTGAGTGAGCACCTCCAGTGCTTCATTTGTTTGTTGAAACATCTCAGTTGGTATTCCATCAATTCCTGGATTCTTGTTTTACTTTTGCCATTTCCTTAAGTGCAGCTTGGACTTCTTCCCTCAGTAGCGTCGGTTCTTGGTCATATACTATCTCCTGAAATGGTTGAACATCGACCAGTTCTTTTTGGTACAGTGACTGTGTATTCCTTCCGTCTGCTTTTGATGCTTCTTTCGTCATTCAGTATTTTCCCTGCAGAATCCTTCAGAATTACAGCTCGAGGCTTGAATTTTTTCTTCAGTTCTTTCAGCTTGAGAAATGCCAAACGTATTCTTCCTTTTTGGTTTCCAAACGCCAGGTCTTTGCACATTTCATTATAATATTTTACTTTGTCTTCCCAAACTGTCTTTGAAATCTTCTGTTCAGCTCTTTTACTTCATCATTTCTTCTCTTAGCTTTAGCTACTCTACGTTTAAGAGCAACTTGCAGAGTCTCTTCTGATATCCTTTTTGGTCTTTTCTTTCTTTCCAGTCTTTTTAATGATCTTT